ATGAATAAGATAAAATTTTTCAAAAATGGTTTTTTTTCTACATTTATTTCTAATGCTCCAACCAATGTAGTGTCATAAAAAAACAACAACAAAATGCACAAAACATTTTTTTATGGTTCTCAGGAGGATATATCAGGTACAGTACAGTCATTTGTACAGTACAGTCATGTTCTTTAATGTGGCGATCTGTGGCGAGTTGAAAGTTATTGGATGGTAGACATACTTCAAATAATGTACAGTGATATTTCACACATCAGAAGAAAACGGCATAGACTACAAAAAAAAATCTATGTATAATTGTTCATCAAAATGAAGATTAAAATGGATTAATCAGTTTTGTCAACCCAGCCTTGACAGCACAAACAAATGTCCTTCCTTAATCAGATTAAACTTTTTCATCGATACTTTTTGGTAATTAAAGGCACAATATGTAAGTTTTTTTATTAAAATATCCAAAAACCACTAGAACAGTGTTATATATTTTGCTGACTTGTGTACTTACATTATCCTAAATGTTTTGACAATACTGAGAAAATCGCCTTTAAAGTTGTTCAAATTAAGTTCTTAGAATTGCATATTACTAATCAAAATTTTTTGATATATTTACTGTAGAAAATTTACAAAATATCTTCATGGAACATGATCTTTACTTAATATCCTAATGATTTTGGCATAAAAGAAAAATCAATAATTTTGACCCATACAATGTATTGTTGGCTATTGCTACAAATGTACCCCAGCGACTTAAGACTGTTTTTGTGCTGCAGGCTCACATTTTGTCTGGTTTTCAGTGAGCATTCTGGGATAGCCTCTGTGTTGGGCACTCCTGTGATTTGTGAAACATGTTCAACCAAACACTAGTATGTGGTGTGCCGTGTGTATCCCACAATGATAATATGTTACCAAAGTCACTAGGGGTGGGAGAAAAAAATCGATTCTCCGATGCATCGCGATTCTCTCTTCAACGATACTGAATCGATTCTAATTCTGAGCATGGTCAGTTATGTTTTCAGAACAGGACAGAACATCTGATATATCGAAATAGATCTGTGCATTAGTGTAAATGCAGCCTGTTAAAGCTGCCACTGTCTGTGATCTCATCAGTAATAATCAAAAACAATAATGCTGAGGAAAAAATAAAAACCCATAACTATGATTGTCTGTAAACTTTCAGATAGCCTACTTAAAGGACATTTATTTTTAAAATATGTAATTATTAAAAAAAGTAGCTTGTTTATATAATTTAATAAATTATAAAATTTGCACAAAATAAATTTGATATAAAATGTGCAGTAATATTGAAAATTGAGAATGTGACGCATCGTGATATTGAGTTGAATCGAATCGTTGACCTGATAATCATAATTGTATTGAATCGCACCCCTATTTTTAAGATGGCAGTACTGACTTACAGAGATTCCAACTATAAACAAAAAGCATAGAAACTGCAATTTTGGTTGAAATGTAAAGTTGTAAAGATGTATTTGCGAAGCAGATGAAAAATGTAGATCAAGAATCGTTTTGGAATCGGATTGTGGCTCCCAGAATCGGGATCGGATCGGACCGTGAAGTGCCTAAAGATTCCCACCCCTAAAAGTCACACATTCTCACTCAGCAACAACAGCGTCCACACAACCAGCTTCCAAGTGGGCGGACTAACAGCATGTGTTCATTGGCAGTTTGAGCCGAGTACATTTTGCTTGGACGCCTGCCTCTCTGAAACGGCGCAATAGATCAAACTGACCATGTGCTGCCGCTGCGGTGTTATTTCAAGGGTTTATGTTCCCCTCGCTATCTCAGATGCTAACCTCATCCTCAGTACTTACGGTCAACGCTCCCGTCGCTTTCCAGGTCGTACAAGCTCACGAGAAAAGACCGGCTCTACAAAAACATCCAGAGGATGCAGCAAACCCACGGCTTTCAAAACTTCCACATCGTACCCCAGACCTTTGTGCTTCCTGCAGAGTACCAGGAATTCAGCAGTGAGTGGGCACCTCGTCCAATCAGCACTCGGATGGGTGTTTGGCTATTAACATAAACAGTGTCTATTAGAAAAATGTGTCTGCTTCTCTGCTGGGCTTTATTAACACTATCTCTGTCCTCATGCATGCTCCTTCAGCAAAGACAAGGGCGTGTGGATCATCAAACCAGTGGTGTCCTCCAGGGGCAGAGGCATCTGGTCAGCAATGTGAGTATGACGTGGTAAATATGAGCAATGCTCATCTGGAGCATGTTCCAGAGACTGCCTACGTAGACAGCATTTTAAGACATCACTGGTGTGTTTCTGATGTGAAAATCGATCCCACAATACTTTAGACTGGACAGGGCTTAGTTTGATTACTAAGGTAAACACAAAGTTTCCCTTGAGTTAATTATAAAAAGTTTCATTATAACTACATACGATGATTGATTTCAATTTTCTGACAGGAGACAGATCACAGGTTCTCCGCCGACTTCACTCCCATTGTTAGTCATTTTCGCTCATTTGCATAAAGGTGAGTTCTTCTCAGTTTTGTTGTGTCACTGGAGACACGTACATTGTGCTGCTAACGGTTGCCAGCTCTGAGAAAATGCATGAGATCATGTTGCTTTGTCGCTGCGTATCACTGGCGGGCTTGAGGCGACATAATGTATCATTCACAACCAAGGCATGAGCCGATGAAATAAACTGGACAGCGTCTTAAGGCCCGTTCAGACCAAAGATGATAGCTATCATGATAAAGCTTTAGCAATCATTCTAATTCTACGAGAATAGGGAAGTCCACACCACAACAGCAACGATAATGACACAGAGAAACAATATTGTTGGAATTACTTTCAAAACTTTTTTTAAGCTGATGAACGAAAAAAAACCACTGTCGTTTATCAGTGCTTTGGTGTGGATGCTAATATGTGACCCTGGACCACAAAACCAGTCATAAGGGTCAATTTTTCAAAATTGAGATTTATACATCATCTGAAAGCTGGATAAATAAGCTTTCCAAGCTTTTGCAAATCTGGAATCTGAAGGTGCAAAAAAATCTAAATATTGAGAAAATCATCTTTAAAGTTGTACAAATGAAGTTCTTAGCAATGCATATTACCGTATTGGCCGAATATAAGACGACCCCCCTTTTTCCAGATGTACCTTTTGGAAAAAGGCTTTTTTAAAAACAAATCTTGTTTTTTCTCAGTAAAACACATTTTGTCTTCAATTATTTTCATATTGCATATTTTTCCTATTTAAATTTTTGTTTTGAAAGTATGGTAAAAACTGGTAAAATGTACCAACAATCACATTTAAAAAATATACACTTTTTGATATACCATAAAAAAAAAAAAAATATTTTCAAACAGAAAACAGTTATTTTAAATAGTAAATTTTTTTTCAAAATGTTACTGTTTTTGCTGTATTTTGGATCAAATAAATGCAGGCTTGGTGAGCAGAAGAGACTTCTTTAAAAAACATTAAAAATCTTTTGACTGGTAGTGTATGTCAGCCTATAGTTTGATATAAGGTAAACATTAATTTATTTGTGCTGTTTTTTTCTTAAATATTATATAGTTTTATAGGAGGAGGTTTCATAGACTTGGAAAATTCATTTTTCAGAAGTTTTTAGGTACAGACATCTGTTGTGGGTGTTCTTGGCAGTTTTTATGAGGCTTTTTAAAAAAAATAGTGTTCATATCGATATCGGAATTATATCGTATCGACCGAAATTAAGAAATATATTGTGATATAAATTTTGGCCATATCCAGCCCTACTCCAGGGTCACATATAGTTATTGCAAAAAATAAAAAATTGAGACTGTGGCCATGAGTATATAGACCAACAATGATTCAAATGGCACAGATGGAATATATGAATGTGAACATTTTTCTTCTCTTCTTTTAGCTGCAAAAGTTTTAATGGGATCTTTTCATCTTCCGTCAAATCACACAGTGTTTCTTGTGGTTGTTTTCAGTCTTGTTTGATTGTGCTGGTGAGTCTATCAAAGTTAAGATGCATTGGCATTGGTGCTCTACATTGAAACAAATTGTTGTAGATTTACTTTGAAACAATTTTCACTCAGAAATTGCTAGTACATTTCAGAAAAAAATTCAAAGAAGCTGCAAGTAACATTGAAATAAACATGAAATTTGAAGTAGACAGACAGTCTTTGTCTTTTGCAAGTTTTTGCACTCAAGTAAATTTTGCACATGGTATTAAGTAAAAGCCACTGAAGTTACTTTACTAAGTAATGTAAAAATTAACAAAGTGAATAAATGCATTTTGATTTTACTCTTTTTTTTTTTTTTTTAAGGTAAGTTTTTAATTAATCTTAATTTTAGACATACATTTTTAGTATGTCTCTGTTCTTTAAACGAAGCAACAAACACCACAGTCATCATATAACCATCTTAACCACAAGCTCTGCTACACAATGATAACCACAAAAACTAAATATCCAACATAACTGAATATTAAACTAACAAATATTTGTCTTTGCTCAAAAGTGCATAAAAACACTTAATTTCAGCATTTACTCTCCTGGTTCAGTTTTATGTGAATCATGTAGGGAGCTACAAATCCACCCATGCAGTTTCAGCTAATGCAACAAAAATGATTTATGTAGTCCCAACACAAATGAATTACATAAACTTCAGATTACATATCCAAGTGGATTGAACACAGTGAAATTAGGTTGTGAAAAAAGGTTCAGCAATCGTGTTGCTTTAGTTTAATTAAAGTTGAACAAGCAGCAAAAATATAATATATGTGCTGATTTGTGTACATAGCAGAGAGCATTTTTAAGCATGGTTTTCTGCTGTTCACATCAACGTGCCTCTGATGGCCAAAAATTAGGGATGCACCGATACCACTTTTTCCAGTACTCGCCCGATACCGATACTTTTATTTTTGGTACTTGCCGATACCGATGCCGATACCGATATTTTTATTGCATTTGTACATTTTTTAAATATTGGATACAGAAACCAAAAGAGTATGTATATTGTTAGTTGGTTAACTTCATTTATCAAATAGATACAGTCAAACCAAAATATATTCAGACACCTTCAGTTTTTGTAATCTGACAGTTTTGTTCTGTGCTGCTTCGTAACACAAGTTTGGTGTTTCAGCCGAGTCAGATCCCACTGGACGAGAATATTCTGGTGTCGCGCTACATCAGCAATCCTCTACTGATTGACGGTGAGTCTACAACACTAACACCAGCAGATTCAACACAGTCTCAGGGATTAAAGTGTTCTTCTGTCAGTTCATAAAGAGAGTCACTTGCTTCATTCCTGAATGATTCCGCAGTTCGAACAAATCAATTGAATGAATGACTCGGTGATAAAATCAGTGACTTGCCGCCACCTGCTGGCAGATTTAGTTTCATTTTTAGCATATAATTTCAATTATTTAAATCATATTTCTGTATTCAAAATTGTATATTTAAAACATTAATCTCCACATGAATTTATGAATTTAATTGCACTCATGC